CCGTAATAAACTTATTTTTCACACTTCAACCTCTTAATTGATCCTTCTCTGTTAACTCCAGAAACTTCCAGTATAATATTCATAAAGATGCTCAGGCTTTTGACTGCTAAATATCTTGTATTCGTACCCATTGCTCCACCGCTGTGCTAAGAGATACTAAATGCTTTTCGAGTTGTGAGAACTTTGGACTTTTTTATACATTCATCTTTATATTATCCCAATTAAATTTTCGGTTAGAAGCAGCTATGATTGCTGTGAAAGACAGTGAGCTCTTGATATCATGGAAACATATTTGTTCTTGCTTTCACGAACCTTAATAGTCAATTTTGTATATTTAGAACCTCACAGACTGATATAAAGTTTCATAAAACACTCAATCGACTTGACTACAAATTAATTGGTGGCAACTGAAACATTGTACGACTGAAATTTGTTTATAACCACACACCCCAGTCGCGGAATACTGTTCACTCGCTTTTAAAATACGAATCTGTCGCCAATGGTAGGCATTGATCGGTACTCCTAATATATCTCTTTTAGGCTGGAGGCAAAGCTGGTAAAGACTCCGGAAAAGCGAAAGCTAAGGCGATCTCACGTTCGCATCGTGCAGGTTTGCAAGTAAGTTCTGTAGTGAAGTATTTTCGTACTGTCGATTTCCCTTATTAATTGCTCCTTACCCAACAATGGTTTTGTTTTATTTTTGAAGTGGGACATTAGCATTCACGTCTCTTCATTGTCTGGATTTCCCAATTGTTGCAAGTTTACACAGGTTATTCCTAAGCCTGTCGAATGTAGGCAGTGGTTTCGTGTTAACATACTGCGAAGAAAGATGTAAGGTGTGGATGTCGATAACATGCTGACATGCTCGTGTTACTATAGGGAAATATGCTTATTCATGGTGTTGAGTAGTTGCAATTCATGGTTTTGATTGCATTAAGGTGCCAACAGACGCCCTAATATCTCCCATTTCCTGCATAAGATGTAAATAAGTTGCACAGTGCCTTGTATTGCTGTCAGTTTTAGTGGAGGCTTGAATTTCATATAACTTGTTCAGACTGAAAATACGTTCGATGTTCCAGTAAAAGTGGTATTACTGAAGTGTAATTAGTGTTTAAACTCTTAGTACCTTTGTCACATTCACGTGAAACCTAAGGAATACTAGGTTCTGACTCCTACAATTTCAAATCTATCGGTACTGAGCTTGAATTCTCGAACTATACTGACGTATGTGACGTCTCTTCATTCACCTAGTTGTTTCATCATTTTGAGTCCCTCACTGTTCTTGATTGTAACCACCACACCCCCCACTCATAATCACCAGTTTTCGTCTGGTTCAAAGGATAGTTAGCGGAAACCGTCAGTCGCTTCGATGTAAATCATCCGCAGAAATGTGTGAACGAACAGAACCTATGTATTGTTACGCAGCAACTACTTGCAATTCCATGTATTTCTGAATAAACCACGCGTATGAGGTGTGCCTCAACCTTCGTAGGCGGATGGGGTTCAATATCCGTGATCCGCAGGCTGGAAGTTTGGACTGGACTAATGAGCCAGAGCTCCATAAGTACTAATGGAGCATTCAGTAGTTTGCGTGCTTCACTATGTTGATTTGTTATTTATCAGCGTATCGGTATGTAACAAAAATCGAAGTATTATAGGATGACTTCGACCGAAATTTAGTTTGAAGATCGTACAGAAGTCGCATAAGTCTGATTTCTGCCATTTTTCGACGATAGCTAACACTAAGTAATGTGGAGAAAAAACCCCTTTAACTTCACCTTGAAGTAATGTCTCAGCTTGTAGCATTCCACTGTCGTATCTGATACATATTTGTTAAGCATAGTTCAATCACATATGCTGTGCTCAAACAGTACGCCATGGGTGGGGAGTTGCTTCATCGCCAAACATTTTTAGTTTGGCCATTTGTTACTAGCTGAATTCTATGGTCACTCAACTAAGTCCATGGCGTTTCAGGGTAGTTTCTTCTTGTCAGTTTGCGAATTTACATCGCATTTTTCTTGTCTGGATGTTGAACCAAAGGGGAAATGGTTACGAAGTATGTTGGGTGGATTCAGTAACATTTATTAACCAGCAAAAGCCAATATGATTGTACATTAAACTGACTAGCACATAATTCTTAGGTAGTTCACCTTTTGGTGCTAATTCATAATGAACCTTTGTGCACTTTTTAAAATAACGCGCATGCCATATTTCCTCTATTTCCAGTTTCCTGTCGGTCGTATCCATCGTCATTTGAAAGCTCGTACTACGAGTCATGGACGGGTTGGTGCTACTGCCGCTGTTTACTCAGCAGCAATTTTGGAATATTTAACAGCCGAAGTTCTGGAACTTGCCGGCAATGCTAGTAAAGATCTAAAAGTCAAACGTATAACACCTCGGCATTTGCAGTTGGCCATTCGTGGTGACGAAGAGCTCGATACACTAATAAAAGCAACTATTGCTGGTGGTGGCGTTATCCCGCATATTCACAAGTCCCTTATTGGGAAAAAGCTACCTCCACCAAAACCTCTTGCCATATAACCAGATTCATGACAACTGCATTTCATTGTATCTCGCATTACTATCCTTTAATTTTATTGGTGTGCCACTATATTTTATCTATATAGAAACTTATCTTTTTTCAAATGTCCGAAATATACTGTTATATATGTCAAGCTATAGATGCATTGAAATCTATTATTTTGTATTTCCTGTGAAAAATTATTAAATACATGTGCTGAACTACCTATCATAGAGATATTCTTCCTTGTTTTCAATTAATGGCTTCTTTTGGAGATTCCCGAAAAAATATGTTCTCAGTAATTGTAGACAATAGTGTTTGTGCTAGTACAAGTACATTATGTTATAGGTCAGATAAATCTTTATTCGTAATGATGACTGAAGTTATACGTAACTGCGCAAAGAATCAGACAGGATAGAGATTTTGCTGATCTCAAGTCCCGACAAATAGTTTGTTTTCTATTTAAATGATATAGGGGTTGATGCTCAATCTATAAACAAACCAATCAGAATTAGTCAATGTAAACTAACTTCCATATTTTACTGACCATATCTACAAATCAATTGATATATCCTTGATAATACTTTGAGTAATACTTAATTTCGTGAAATACAACTTGCGGCCAAAGGTTGACTGGTTAAAATTTTATCGTTAAAACTTGTGCACACTTAGTAAGTTTCTATCGTAGTAGTAGTTGTTGTACAGTATGTCGGTTTAGATATCAGACACCCGGAGGTACAAAAGATTTGTATGAGACGGTTGTTGGGAATCATTAAAACAGCGAAAAACCTACGACGATTAGGCTGGAGGTCGTTTACTGCGCTCAGGCTACTATGGGTGGAGGTCATCACGTGTGTAGCTCATTGGGTCAAATTGTGTGTCCTTATATACTTAGCGTGGTTGCATCAAGATGAAAGCTTCATCATAACTGGCTGGTGGTTTGTGCTTGGAATAGCTCACTACCTGGGTGAACTAGGGTTCACGGCATTATGAGGGAGTAATGCGTGGGCTCTAGCATCTGTTAATGTACGAGTCCTAGGTAGAAAGGTATGCTTGTGAATCCTCGTACAGAAATCCAAAGACTCAAGTAAATGAGGATAGCTATCTTAATGGCAGCATTACCGAATGTCAGTCGCTTCAGGATCTCTATTTTCAGGCACTATTCGTGGTCTTAACGAAGGTTGAGCTTTCTGTTATGTATACAGCACACCAGCTGATCATGCCGTATGTCGAGGCGAGCTTACGGAGGTCAAAAAGTTTTTGTAGCTGTAGGCTGCATATTGCGCTAAGGTTCTTCCGGGTGAGTACCGCCACCATTTGCGGGGAAATGTTTGCATAACTATGTCCACAGGTTGTCTTCATTGCAAAACCGCAGTTATTTAAAACCTTATTCTGTTGGTCAAGAAACGGTTAATTATCTAAAATGAATTGTAAAAGCCGACCGCTTTTGTGGGAATTAGACCTTATTACGTATTCCCAATATGTTCGTGCCCTACCTAGCATTACACAAACCACCGACTGCTTGCCTATATCTGCCATCAGACAGACTTTGTCCTCAACCACTTATCATTATCATTATGATGCTAACAGCTCTTATCATTGTCACTGTACTAACGGTTTTCTAAGGATTCAAGGTGGGAGGTCGGGTCACTGTGACTCGGATGACCAAAGACTACATCAATGCAGCAACTACGGATAAGAGATGATTAAATACATGAATATCTTGTGCGTGAAACTGATTAAATTTTAAATCAGTTTGGTTACTCATCAACCTAGATATTTGTTAATGTATGACGTAATTAATCCACTTAACAACATGTCCTACCTTTATTCCACCCATAAATATGATGATGAAAGTTGGTCAGGTTTTGTCGCAATTTCTCTTACTCAACAAGGCTATATTCGGAATTCAATGACTCACTCACTTTGAACAATGAGAGAATAGTATATATATATATATATATATATATATATATATATATATATATATATATATATTACCTACCAGATTGACCGTGTACGTGACAACAAATCGAAAATATACGACGACTGACGTAGAGATTGTTTCCTGTTGTTATACAAGGCACTGTAATCACCTTACTAAGACGCTGTTTTATGATTGCATAGGTGGCAGTTCACCTCTCAGCTAGATTCCCTATGGCATAAGCTTTTAATTTTTGAATTCAACCACCCGGAACAGATCATTCATACACCAGGCCAAGAGCCAAACCTAACATGTCAAAGCTGACGATGATGATATTTCCCAATTGGAAGAGCAGAAACTAGGAACTGTGACCCATTGACTGCAGACCGAGCTCTTAGATTACTTTAAAAACCGGTCACCACAATTTCAATGTTAGGTCATACGTCTGCAAACAATGTACAGTAGTGCAGTCACTCCACCGAACAGTTCCAAATGCCTATTTCCTGATGTCAAAAACCAAATATAAGTAAGAAAATACAACAAATTTTATTAAAAGACCAATTACGTGAAAAATAATTTTAAAAAATTGATATGCAACAAAACGTTAACAATCATCACCGGAATAAAACAGTTCTCTTCTTTTTTTAATTTTAATTTTTTGTTGCTTTCTTTCCAATAAAAATGTGACTTAATTGTCTCCTGTGTTGATTGCCTTATTTCTCTTATCGTCAAGACGGGCAGTTGTGATCATGAGGAAGACAGATCAACCACTATTATCATGGCTTGTATCCACTTCGTCATCAACAGAAGCATCTAAATTCATAGCCTAAGAAGAGAAAACAAAAAAGTTAGTATGACCAGCATAGTGTATAAGAATTTTATCTAAATATACATGCTAGCAAATAAACAAAAGCTGAGTATAGATACATGTATATGATAATTATTATTCCCTAAGGTTCCGAGTGGAACATAAGGCTTCAACAACACACATCTCCACTTTGTTCTATTTTCCGCAATCCTCTTCAACCTGGTCCACGACTGCCCAAAATCTCTCGTCTCCTCCTCGCACGATCTCTATGTCACCCTAGGACCACCGCCCCACTCGTCGTATGCCCGACCTATCTCTATTTTCCTCCTGTATATTTGCTGAGGTATAGACTCTTGATTGGTTTGTTGGCAGAGTTTCTTGTTGCTAATCCTTTCTGGACGGTCAGCCATTTGATCTTCAGGATAAAGCCAGCGAAGACAGCTGTTGATAAAAGCCTAACTTGTTGGAAATCCTTTCCGAGACACGCAGAGCAAGTTTCCGACCAGTATAGAAGAACTGGCTAACGTTACATTGTTTTTGAAAATCCGAATTTTGTTGTTTATGTTGAGTGGAGAATTTTTGTAGACTGATTTCAGATTGATGAAGGCTAACCTTGCCTTTTCGATTCTGTCTAGCTTTGACATTTTCATCCGTGCTGTCGCCTGTGGTTGAAACAATGCTTTCTAAACATGTTTGGGCCTGCTTATAGCTTGGGCTACCAAAAACTCCCATCTCTCTGTTCCATATATTTTCTCTCGTTCGGTTTCTTTTCATCGACTGAGATATGACCTCTATTAGTATAATCTCTTATGTTTACAAACTCCTGATTCGCAAATCCCTACTAAACTTGAGGAATGGCCATATTGCGGGTGGCAATGTACATTTTATAAATACTCTCCAGAATAAAGATATTATTATCAAGCGAGGGAAGCAACCTCTTACAAATCGCTCCCGTTGATGGTACTATTTGCATTTGCTGTTGGTTATCTTCGTCACCTCCGTTTTCTCTATGCTCACCTGGAGTCCTATTTTCATCTGCAACTCTTCGAGTTTGTATGACAGACACAAATCATCCACGAAATTCCGATCTTCTAGAGTCTGTATATAGGTCCAGCGTATCCGCATCTTCTCACTAACCACAGTCTTACACATGATCGAGCCTAACACAATTAGGAATGTCATCGTGGGTGATACAAGGCATCCTTGTCTTCCTTCAGTATTCACTCCAAAGGCTTCGCTGAGTTTTCAGTTATGGGTCACCTGACACGTGCCCTTGTCATATAGCTGCTAAATGGGATTGATAATGATTTGGGCACTACACACCATAGTGTTGAAATGGTTTCCAAATTACTTCACGGTTAACGCTGTCTGTCGAAGGCTTCTTCGAAGTCGATGTAGTTAAGGTGCAGGTTTGACTGCCATTCTATGCCCAGTTCGATGATAACTACGTGTAAAGTTGCCATTTGATCGGCACATGATTTGCCTTGCCTGAATGCAGCTTGTTCCGATGGGTGGAGTTCTGCATTCACTGCATCTTTTATTCTCTCTAGGATGATGCAACTCAGTATTTTACTTGGCGTGGACAAGAGAATGATTCCACACCAGTTTTTGCAGAGGCCTAAGTCACCCTTCTTTGGTAGCTTGACAAGATGACACTTTTTCCTATCAGCAGATACCTTAGCTTCCTCCCAGGCCTTTTGCAATAATGGCATGAGCATATCTGCTGCAGTCTGTGGGTCCGTTTTCAGTGTTTCAGGGGAGATTCTATCTAGTCCTGCTGCCTTCCCGGACTGCAATAGTTTGGCTGTACTCAAGAATTCCACTTTTGTTGGAGGATTGGTGTTCACTGGTAGTTCTATGCCTGCTGTCAGTGATGGTGGTATTTTTGGACTAGTTGCAGGTGATGGTCGATTCAAGAGTCTTTTGAAGTGATCATTCCATTGTTTTATTTGCCTCAGCTTCTTGGTAATTAGGTCCCCTTAAACATCTTTTATAGGTTTCACCTGCGTTGATCTCTTCCCGGATAGAGACGGTTATGTGATGCAATGTTTTCAGATCTCTTTTACCTGAGGCCAGCATATTCTGTTTCAGTTGCCAGTGTGTCGTAGAACTGTCTTTTGTCTTTCCTAGAACTCTTCTTCACTTCTTTATTCAGTGCAGTGTACATTGAACTCAGCTTCTCCTTCTATTGTTCATCTTTGCATTGAGTCGTCTTCTCTCTCACTATCCTCCTCTCCTCTCTTCTATTCGCTTCCAGGTATCCGTTGACAGCCATTCCTTGTCTTGTTTCTTCATTCTTCCTGGAACAGTTGTACACATTTCCTTTAACATCACCTTCTAATAGTTAGTTCCGATGTTCTTGCACGCAGGTTTTCTCAGTGATGCCAAGTAGTGTCTCCAACTTTGCTCTGATCTGTACTGCAGTTTTCCCTTGTAGTTTTATCCTTCAGTTCCTGAATGTTGGACTTGAAATGTGGCCCGTCTCCGGTTGTTTGAGGGCTTTCAGCTTCACTTTGAAGGTTCTTTGAACAAGATGTTGGTCTGAGCCTACATCTACTTCCCTCCTCGACTTTGTGTCCAGCAGGATCGCTGCATCTTCACTTCCTCGTGGAGCATGGAGATGAAGTCTATCTGGTTTGTGGTGTGTCCGTCAGGCAAAACCCATGTTGTTTTGTGTATATCCTTGTGTTTGTACACGCTCCCTGCGATCACCAAATCGTTGAAAGCGTAGAAGTCTGCGAATAATTCTCTGTTCTCATTCATTTCTCCGAGAGCCTCTCGACCCATGATGAGTTCTCTCCCTGTATTATCTACTCCCATTTCTGTTGGCATTCATATCGCCCATCAGGATCTTGATATCTTCATTTGAGATGTTTTCCATTACTGCTTGTAGTTGCCTGTAAAAATCCTCCTTCTTTTCTTGTTCCGCGTTGTTTGTAGACGCGTAGTATTGGATAATTGTTACCTTCCTTCCTTTGGAGTTGAATCTCGCTGTCACGATCCTGTATGAAATTGGTTGCCACTACTTTAGGGCTTTGAGATAGCCACCCACTGCTTCAGTGTCCTTGCGGTTGTCGTCTGGATGGCCGGCGTAGACTACTGACTCTCCAGTTGACGATTTTGATAGTCCACATCCATTCCATCTGCCCTCACAGATTCCCAGCAGTTCTGTGCCATATCTTCTCATTCCTTTGGCTATCTGGGCAGCCTTCCCAGCCTCGTACATTGTGTGAACGTTCCCATTCTTCCTATTGCTTTCTTCGAGAGAAGACACGTCGGCTGACTGGCTTCCCGAAGGCTTTCACTAGCCCGTGTCATTTGGCCTCTCCGATTCCTGCGAAGAATAAGCTTTTTATATTTTCCTTGTGAGTTGAAGTTTCTGTAGCAATTTGATTGGTTTTGTAGTGTAGAGTCGCTAGCTCCACACTCAACCCTCCCTTTTTTTCCGGGTTTGGGACCGGCTAGAAAACAAGCCCATTCGGGCTGAAGCAACTTCCCATATAAGTAAGGCGGTCATCATCACGGCCAACCACTTCACCTGACTGACTAAGTTTCAACACAGAAATGCAGCAGTTGAAATCACAACACTCCATATAGCACAAAAAGATACACAAAATTAAGGAAAACGACGGATTCAAAGGACTACAATAAGCATAAATGTGAGGCAGAAGGAATAGTAACACAAAAAAAAACATGATACTTTAGTGGATATGACAGATAAAAAAGAGTGAATACATGCACGCCATTGACAACTATTAGTATCCAGCCATTGGTTCTTAGGATCCTCTGCCTGTAATCTATAAATCGGTGAAGACCAGTCCTACGGCAACATCTTACACTTGATAGGGGGTGATACACGAGCCAAAGAACAATTTATTGTATTCTTTTACGTTCCCAGTGGAAAATAGGGCTTCAAGCTTTAAAGTTTCGCGGTTGCTATCTCTCATGCTCAACCTTCCCTCTTTACCAGTCTTATTACTGGCTTAGCGAGGTTAAGGAGTGTGTCAGCCGGGTATCGAACCCCGAACCGCATGAGGCGTGGTTGGCGAGCATTCTACCGCTGTGCCACTGGCGCACTGCCAAAGGACAATATCATCTGCAAACTGTGAGACTATTTTCTAGTAACCAGCAAAACCCTAATTCATTATAGTCGATTAGGGTAACATCTATGGTGAAATTAAGCAAAAGCAGTGATAGTGGGCATCTCTAACGGACAACTTAGGCTGTTATATAACAGTTAATTTTTCTGGACTCAGTTACGCGGAACGTATCTTTTATGCACATGGGGTATGAACCATATAATTACTGTGACCGTTGAAATCACTATCAATTTGCTCAGGAGGACAACTTTCCATAGGCTTTCCCACACATGCATGCATTTGAGTAGAGTACTTTAATTAATGCAGCACAATTTCTCAGCACTCTCCTAACTATAACTGTCTGACAGTCAAGTATATAAGCTAGCGAGTCACATCTCCACATAATTGAAATTTTTTTAATTCTAAAGCCATATGGCTATAGACAGAAAGCAATTTAGAGAAGACAATGATTTAACCATTTCATTTCATTTAGAAATGATTAAATAGAGCTTTCGATCTTGTGATTAAAACTTTATGCAATGGATTACAGTTGTTGTTATTATCGTATTTTTAAAGAACAAACATACGCCCATGTAGTGTCTATTATCATTATTAAAATTACAAACTTGCTAATTTATAGGCAACAAGAGGTAGGTACGCCACACATTCTTATTTCATAGTTTGTACAAGGATTGGACTACTGCCTACGTACACGAACTAGGGCAGATGACTATCTCCAGAGCCCTTGATTTGAAGTCTGGTTCACAAGGTAATGCAGTTACGTTCCCATAGATCCCAGAGACCAAAACAGATTCATACACCATTTGATCCTTTCGCATTCTGGAGCCCATGTACACTACAGGCTTGAAATCAGGGTTTTCCAGCTCTACTAGTCTGGTTGTAAGAGCCAGACATTAAGATTACCTCTTTCACTTTTGT